TGAAGGAGATCACGAAACGTTTGGGTGCTGTCGGTGCTACTCACCTTCCAGGATGGGGACTGCGTGATCCTCACTGTGCCTGGTTGGAGACACTACAAGATATGGCTGCCAACCGATGTCAGTGGCGTTCTTGTTGTCAGTTTCTATCCAGATTGCCTGAGTGAATGTCTGGAGGTGTAGGCACCTCGGAATGATTGTGTTAAGCTAGCACTAAGTCCCTTCCCTGTCCACCTTTACTCTTTTCTTTACAATAAAGCTTTCAAATAAATATTGGTGTTTCGGTTGTGAAGTATCAGTGTTGAACACTGATGTCATGCTGTCGATGATGATGATGATGATGACCCATTTTCCCTTAGTGTTGGTTGGAAGAGGCCCAACCCGAGTGCAGTCTCATCACATTTGACCAATACCTTTCATTTCATATGCCGAACACACCTATCGGCTTACGTACAGGCTGGACGTGAGCTGTTCAGCAATGTTACGATTCAGACCGCGGAGGCTAAATAATCCAGAGCTCTTTGTTCAAAAAGGTGCGACGTATAAGTTATTTCAACCACTCAACCTTTTTCGACTGCAGCGTAGTCCGTTTGATTGTGACCCATCGACCTTCTAACCTCTCCTCTTCCTTATATATTCGTACCCAACCGTGCAAATGATTTCCGTGGTTGTATATGAATTTCCCATATGAATTTCGCCATGATGACCAATCATAGGCCTACTTAGTTTTTATCGAAAACTATTTAATTTATTCGTGCTTGGGGCAAGACAGATGTTCCCCATGCGTGTTACAGTAAGTCCGTAGTCGATTAACCCACCTCCCACATATGCACTGATGTGGGCCAAAGACATTGTCTCCCGCTCTGTAATTGCACTTCGCCCCACACATTTTCTCTTGACTCACTTGCCATTTTAGTGGGACATAGCAGGCTCTTGCCTGGTTCTGTTCGACGGATTGGTAGACCAGTTTCTACGTCGTTTGGATGTTGCGTCAACAGCTGTTATCTGCAATCGAGACTCCCTGCTCGAGAGGGATCAGTTTTCTTCAGATCAAAAAGTGGCAGGAAATTTCCCCAGCCTTGCTCCACCTACTTTGGAAGCCCCTTTTGACTGGGCATCGACTCTGTTCACATTGCTTTGGGGTGTGTCTTCTGGCGAGCTGCGGCATTCGCGTTTCCGATCTTCTGCTGCTGATGTGTTGGCTCAACTTCGTCTACCGGCCGGTTGGCCTTATACTGACCCGGGTTTCGATCTCACCACTCAGTTACTGTCTGACTCTTCCCTCTTTAGAACTGTAAGTTCTGTTTTTATTACGTGGACTACAAATGTGGTCTTCAGTCGTAGAGTTCTGCCGCATCTACTAATCTCGATGAGTGCGTTTCTTGGGTTTGAAAATGTGAATTCCCATATCCACTGCAATCAACCTCAAAAACTCCGCTTGGAGAGATAGTTTAAATGTCTGGAACTCGACTTGCGGCTTAACCATCATACGGCTTTACCTGAATGCACTTGGAATAACCGTCTGTCATAGCCTACAATATCAAAGATGTAGTGACATGAAAGGAAGTTGTACTGTTGTCCCCATCTGCGGCAGCCTTGGTTGTGTTGGGCAAACTTACAAATCACTTCCCACTAACTTGCTTGACAGCTACAACATCCTAGTGATCTTTAAGATGAACTCTGTCAGTGCGCCGTTTTTGGTCAATGCTCATCTCAGAGAGTCTTCAGAGTAAATAGCCAAGGGCGTCAGTATGAGTTGTAGTATAATCTAGTCTTGATGTCACTTCGCCATCTTGCGTCGCTCGTGAATCCTTGGCCCGAGAACAACAAATAAGATTCCTACCGGACAGGGGCTGCGCAGATATCAGCTTCACACTCCGGTGGCTTCATGTGTATAGGCATCAACGGATGTGTCGAAAAATCATCTAATCGGTGGACTAAGCTCGTTTGCAAATTGAATTGCTAATGGGAAACCAGGCTGAATCCCAGCGACTATCTAGCTTATCGTATTTTTCGACTTAAGGCGCACAAAGAGCGCCTCATAGTCCAGGTGTTACGATATGCGAGATGGCAAGCTAATCTTCGACGGTCCAAGCCTATTTCGTTCTTTTTGAGGCCAATCAACTAAGTGCAGTCGCCGACCTTCCTCAACCTTACGTTTCACTCGAACACCAAGTTGTACGCAGGTGGCAAACCACTCTAACCTCAGAGTAATTATACTTGGCTACTGTGTCAGCCAGTGTAAGTTACTATTTACGGCATTGATAAATCCTCAATGAATGGTTACTATTTTTGCACAGACTGGTAGTAAACGGTAAACTCACAGAACACTCGCAGTTCAAATGGAAACCGGGAAGTAGAATCATCACAAACCGCGTATAGGAATCATCGATGATTTAGTTCTCGGCTTGGGTAATTGCGCTTCGATGGAATGTTTTGAACTTTATTCATTATTTTGTACACCAAGTTCTTCCATCTGTCCAGACTCCGTGGCACTATTTCTCAGAAGACTTCACCAAGATATTGTGTGTGGTCACCTGGGGGAGGGGACAATGTAATGCAGGGTATCGTTACGGGCAGGTAATCTAAAGAGGCTGCATATTATTACCATTGTCTTTGTTCATTTGGTATGTTCGATAGGGAAAATGTGTGAACATTATTTTGATCGTGATAGCGTTTGGATTTTCCTTTGCCCATCTTAAGCTCACAGGATTGCTTCAAGTCGGCTTACACCGCATACTCGAATTTCCAATCCCCGATGGACCACCTTCTGGTATGATTCGGGCCACGGCTGCTGGCCTTCGTCTGATTCAGCGACTGTTGATCAACGAAGAAATGCTTCTCACGTTCGTTCGTCGGGCTGCTGTTGGACCTAGGTGAGCCCTGTTTTGTCTCAACGAACGGTCCTGCTTACCATAATGTCCAGTACATTGTGTTCATCGTCTTATTTTTTTTGTCTAGGCGAATAACTTAGTATGTGTAATTGTCGTGCCTGAGTAGAAATACAGTCGATTGCTCATTAGCCCTTCAGGCAGGTTCAGTAGGAGTCTTATTTCACTCACTGGAGAGGAAGTTCAACGGGCAGCGGACTCACACATACCCCATCAAACCTAGCGTGAAGTTAGTCTTCCTTCTAGTTTAATCTGGGTCCACGGCGCCTATCTAACTCAGCCACGTCCAACATCTGACGCATGCCCATCCACTGTCCGAAAATGGTATCGTTGAACTACGGACAACTCTCTTGAAAATGCAGATTGTTTTGGTTTTTCTTCGGATATCTACTTCTCCTCCTCCTCCTCATCATCATCAAAGACAGCTACATCAGTGTTGGCACTGATGCTTCACAGCAGACTGTCTCCTATTCGATGTATATTGAGAATGTGGAGTTCATTCGTGGCTTTCACACTGGAAAGATATGTGACATCCGTCTACTTTAAGCCATAGTATATATATATATATATA